GAAAAGAACTCCCATAACAAAAGGGTTAAAACTAAAAAAACCTTCTGAAAATATTATATCTATAATCCAAAAAAATCCAATCCAAAAAAATGTTAGCTCAAAATTAGTCAATTTTCCAGATTTTTTCCACTTTATTGTAAATATAATACGCATTCAAAACAGTATAGTAGACTGCCATTCATCTCTATTAATATGTCATCAGCATATCAAACTCACGTGCTACGATGATTGTCGTGCTGGCATCACTTTCAATGGGCGATGTTCCCATCGAACATTTGAATTCTCCTGCTTCCTTGGCGGTCACCGATCCGATATGGACGCCGCACTGTCCTTGCTCCAAGCCTGCGCCATAATACTCATATCCTCCCACACGCTGTCCGGACTTCAAATTCAGCGAATTCTTCAGACCGGGTATTGTAATTCTGGAAATAGAAGAAGAAAGAAAATATAAGTATAGTTGAAATTTTAAAATTATACATATATATTAATTTACTGTGTATACATTATCGAAATCTCTATAAAATATCTGAGAATTTGATGTACATATGTCCAATAAACATATTTTGACCGCCAAATGTCATTTTTTAACTTATTTTTATTGAGAGTCCATAACTGTCTTCCCAAAAATTTAATCAGTTCTTCATTTCTCAATACAAGTAAAAAATTTTATTGAATTATTAAAATCGGACGCTCCGTTCTCTTAAAAGCTGAGTTACCGTTTTCGGCACTTTTTGCCCCGTATCGTCGGAACGGCTGGACCTGCCTATGCCAAAAACTAATCGGCACGTCTCATTATCGATACGAATCGAATGTTTTTGAATTATTCAAATCGGTTGATCCATTTCCCGAAATCGTCGACAAAAATTTGTATCCGCACACACACACATACACACATATGCCAAAATGTTCAGAAACTTTTGAAACGTAAATTTATATAAACATTTTCATTTTTGATTTTTTTACGATTACTATAATTTACCCTACGGGAAGTTAATAAAAGCCTGAAATACTTCTTGGTACGTCTTAAGACCTATGTAAGAATATTTACAATGTCACGAGTATGGCGGCACTCTTTCGTTAAGGGTTAATTTATGTTATTAATTAAATAAAAAGTTTTTTGTTTTGAACTTGAGGATTATATAAGCTGTTGTAATGAATAGCTTACTAACAAAGTAGCTTTATTATAGATGGCTACCCGAACAGTTGTCCAATCTCTATGTGATCAATTTGATTATTACAATATCTATAATAGTGATGATATATTATTAAAGCAGAAATGTCTGGTAAGGGCTATTTTCACTTGGCAACATACTTATTAATAGGCTATCTATGTTTCTAAGTAAAAACCTATGTCCCTTCTGCTTGACATCTGGCTGCTCAAATCGTGGTCGAACCAGGAACATCGTTCTAACCAAAGAGAGAAAAAACTTATCTACCCTTAGAGCGAAGCCATATAAAACGTCCAAAAAGCTGATAAGCTTTTTTAAGATATTTGTTTAGATTTGCAAGAAAGAAACTAATTGTTCAAGGCAATCTTCCAAGACGTAAAGAACTTTCTAAAATTATCATATCATATCAAAGTGTAAAACCGACTTCATTCAAACTATATTTCTTATTATAAACTTTCCCGCTGAAAAATCATTCGATTCGTTTTCCCACGTTACGAGAAACAGATAAATCCCATCGGACACGGCATTTTTTAGATCCTGATCTAAAATTCAATAACCTGCAGCGTTTTCGAGAACATATCTACAGCGTAGTTTTCACCAGCTCAGACTTCTGGAAAATGTGTTTTGAATAATACATTATGAAGTGATTTCGGAGGCATTCCTAGTTGTTGCGCACTGACACACGAATTGTATAGAACACGCCATGCACTTGAATTACTTTCGTATGCATGCCCTTACATGGAACACTGTACTAAATATAGCTCCAATTATTTGATACATCATGGTTTTGAAATATTTCTCAATATATTTATAACTAACGTGCATGATATGACTATCGCACTCTAAATTTTTTTGAACATTTTGAATTTTTTCGAAAATTTGAATTTTGAAACCCACTCATTTCGGTTGAACCACACTTCCGAAAATGTTGAGGAAATTTTATTTGAACTATGTGAGTGAACTTTGAACATAAATCTTGGTACGGAAACCTGATGACAACTGATATCTGATAATTTGATGTATAATTAAGTTAATCTAATGATCATTTTTGATCGCCAAATGGCATTTTTCAAACTTTTTTATGGATCTCCGAAAACACTGGATCTGGCTTCCCAAAGGATCAGTTCTTCATTTCGTCAATACTAGTCCCATCAGAAGTCTTTGAAACGTCAAAAGATATGCAAAAATGTTCATTTTCATTTTTTTTTGTAATTACTATAACTTACCATAAGGGAAGTTAATAAGTCAATATAAATATTCAAAGTAAGGTAATAAGGTAAAGCGCATTTTAGCAAAATAATTGTTTTTACAGCATATTATCCTCGCTTTAGGCGCATATCCAAATAGCAATCCTGATTCTTATTATTATGTATAAAGCGATAAAAGTTTTATTCCAAAAATATCTTCATCAAATAATAGTAAAAGTATTGTATTACCATATTTGTTACATTTTACTACCATCACAATATAATGCAACGCAAATTGTGAAAAACAAATAATTAATCTGAATAAATTTATTAATCTGCTAGATATAAATTCAATTACTGGTAAATAAATGTTAAATACAGTTGCTCTATACGAATGTTTAGATACATATATACGATATATGTACATTAGGGTGGTCCTTACTATGGACATTTTTGAATTTCCTTGCTCCAAATGGCTCAAATGGTTCCAAATTGATAAAAACAATTTCTGAAAGTTTTAGCTTTTAATATTGTCTTTTAGATAGAGCACAATTCAATCAAAGTTTTGTATGAATATAGCATGGAGAAAATTTTGAAAATTAAAAAAAAAATTTTTTAGGTATAACTTTGCAACAAATGAACTAGAAGTGAAAATTCGTGCCATTTTTTATTGAGAATTCGACCCTCTAAAAAAATTTTGAAATTGTTTTCATGCTATTTCCATACAAAACGTAGATTGAATTACTATCTGACAGACAATATTAAGAACTTTCAGAGAATTGTTTTTTATCAATTTAGAACCATTTGAGCCCTTGGTAGCAAGGAAATTCGAAATTGTCCATATTAAGGACCACTCTAATGTATATGTAGGAACCTATGCACGATAAGTTACAGAAATCAGTACTTATTTATTTTTTTAAATCCCGTTTCTTTTCTCACTATCAGTAATCTGCAAATATTTTTCTAAAAATATTTTTACAAATTATATAAATTGGTAATTGGAAATTGGTAAAGGTATTATGTATTCACTAAAAAATTATACAGATTAGTTGCATTCAAATATTAATAAAAATCAAGTAATAAACTGAATTCATAACAAATATTTAAATAATAAATATAAATATTGCAATAATAAATTAAAACCCATATTTCATTCCATCGTGCAATCAAGTTTCTGTTTATCAAGCTTTAATTGCAAGCTTTTAATTTTGATTTTAATACTGGTTCATTCAATTTAAAACACATGTGAGTGAGTGGCAAGCGTAGAGTAGATGCAATAACGGCTGTGACATTGTTTCAGCGTGATTTTCAGGTGAGTATCACATATATCCATATCCCCGGAATAATTGAATTTTGGACGCGTGATATAATTTCTCACGTTGCAATAATATTAGTAGAGAACAAAATGCGGAACTATAGTAGGATAGATTTAAAAGATGTGCTCGGAGCCCAAAACGTAGATATAATATATAAAGTGGTTAAACTAAAGCTTCAAAATCTTGTAATACTTTCGTCTATATAATAAGATTCATAACATCAATTACATTTTCATCGATATTTTTATTTTTCCCATTTTTTGCAATATTTTTATTTACTACTATATTTACAACTGTCCAGTTAAAGACATTTAGCAAATTTGTTATTTACATTTGTCAGCCGTAATAGGGACATTGTATATTATAATGACATGTTGGATAAACAACTCAATAGTTGCAAATGACTATAAATTTTTTTATGTAGAAATAAAACGAAAGGCATTAAAATAATTGAATTGATGATTCGGTCATATAGAGTAAAATGGAGCATATAGATCCCAAATTGACTTCAAATAATTATACTGTCTAAACTAGATGAACTATATCACAACAAATAACATGTATCAACCAAAGAACTATCAAACTATGTTCAGTAAAATCCCATATACTAATTATAGAAATGTTTTTTTTACTATTTTTCTAACATTTATCATCTGTACATTTTCAACACATATGCGGAGTAAAATAGGAAAAGCCAAGAGTCGAATAGATCCAACATCTTATTTTTAATTTTGAAAAGATGTTACAAAATAATGCAAAATATAAATTTCACGGGTACATTTTTTATAAAGATTGTATATAACCTTGTTTTGATTTAATATTTTGTCCAAACTATTTACCGCAAGAGTTGGAATAACTTTATTTAATTTATTTCTGTAAAATTGTTTTTTTTTAAACTCAATTTACTTTTTTATTAACGATTTTTTATTGTTTACACCTTTGCCAAGGTTCAGTTCGACCATTATACCCCACCCAAATGTGAGCTTTATAGAGCTTTCTTGAAAAACTGTTGAATTTACTTAAAAATAACATATTTATAGTATAAAACAATTAAATAACGTATACTTAAAATTAAATTCAGATATTATAAACTAAATAAAAGAGCTCAAAATAAAAGAAAAAATACCAACAAAAAAAATATATTTGTTATGAATATTGATGAATGGTTACAGGAGGTGATTCTTACGACCATTATCGTGGGAAATAAGATTTTGGCTAGTTTACATCTTTTGTCTTCTATTTTAAAATAGAATCGTTAATAAATTCTATAATTTCCTTGTTTTTAAAATAATAATAACAGATAATAATAATAATAAATAAATAATCGTGGTGGACCCTTTTGCCCGCTTTTGAACCCCGCTCTACCGTATACAATCTTAACAGAAAGGCACGAATTGTAAGTTGAGATTATAAAGTTATCGAAAATTACAATTAAATTGCTTTAATTAAGTAATGTTCAAACAAAATTTTAACGATAGATAGTTTACTATCGATATTTCCATCTACTACCACTTTTCTCTGCACAACCAGGTATAAAAATCGAACTATTTTGTTTTTTAGGTCAAATAGATACAAAAATGCAAATGTTAAATATATCTTTTACCAGCAGATTTATCCACTAAATAATGTGAGTAATTTTATTATTCATGACCGATTCACATACATTTAGTGTTTTCTATTAACTATTTAATTGAACTCTAGAATGCACTTCATACGGTGTATGGCAGGTATTCACCACAAAATTATGTGGTCATTTCTGCTTTAGCCGTCATATATATTTCGCTGCCAAATACTCTTTGATTCCTATTTTATTGGATTGGATTTATCATCGAATGCATTGATCATGGTTTATGTGGTTAATATTATATATCAGGATATTGACAATATTTTATGATATCATTTTGCAATAGTTTATGGTCAAAATTAATTATAGCAAGGCTTATTACTCTGTTGCCATGATTGCAATGTGAAGATAAAAATTGAATCCTAATTTGAATGTTTCATACTTTCCATGAAGAGAATTTTTTATGGAGAAGGAAGCTAACTCTAAATTATTATTTTTTTCTATTACAAATTTTTATTTTTTCTTGTAAAAATATATTATAAAATTTCATTGTCTGTTTATTATATCAATTAAAAAAATTTTTAAATGCTCAATATCATGAAATTTTTAGTACTGGATCATAATGTTTATCTACAGAACTTTTATTAAGCACTTTTCAGTAGATGCATAGTTGATGAGCACATAAATAAAAATAATATTTTTTCTAATTTTACCTGCAGTAGTGTACATCCACCCCCACACGGCAGAGCATGGTGAGATTTTGACCCTCCAGGACCACTGGATTTTGTGGGTATATTTCGACGGGCGCCTGGGCGTCGCATAGCACCGCCAATACTGAAATCAAACAAAACACAATCAGTCAAATTACGGAATCACTGATTGATCATCCGAAACAATGGTTTAACATAGGATGTGAGTATTAATATATTAATTTAGTACCTGTCGCTTTTACATGTGGAGATGATCGGGAAATATAAATTATTCATTGCTATTTTGGAATAAAGCTTGTTTAGTTTTATGATCGCAATGTTTGCGTTATATCGATATTGTGGATTTAATCATGATAATAAATAATGAGTACAACTAATAATGTGGGGATCCGCACTGTTGGCTCAATTATTTACGCAATAGTTACATCATAAATAGTTGAAGCTCAACTAATTAAAATTTAAGAATAACTCAAATAAATAAAGATCAAATATCAAACAATTTTATGTCTATAATTTCTGTTACCTCGTACAGTAAGAACTACTGCTTCTAAAGCGCATAAAACTTAATTACTCTAAAAAGTTTGAGTCGTTTAACAAAAAACTAGTTTCTGAATCGATTTCCAATATTACACGTACAGTGTTGAAAGTTTCTAAAAGCACTTATCGCCGTCACCTGTTTCGCAAATAATCATCGTCACGTATCTGCTCTCCGAGCAGTTCACAAATATCAGTTTGTTTGTGAGGATGAGACAACAATCCAAATATTCGATATTGTTCTACGAGTAGAATTGAAGTCGGAGATGCTACGACACAGTACATAGATAAACTGTGTTAAAAAAATAAAGAAGTGTTTTTTCGAATACCATCTTCCTGGACATTTCTGGTCAAGAATAAATTCTCTGACTTGCATTGCGGCTAATGAATAGATCTTTATTAAGAAGATATAGAGCAGATGGTAAACAATTTATATTAATAAAAAATCGCATATTTCTAATACCACATTTATTCTAATAAACCTAATGTAATATAGGTCAAGATTATTCATTATTTTGTTAATTTCACTTATTTAGTTTAGTCATAGAAAACTTTTAATAATTCATCTCTCGTCTACCAAGAGCTTATGCGAAACAAATTTATTTGAATTATGCGACTTTTCTCTTTTTTACTGGTTTTTTTATTATAAAATACAATTAATTCAAGTATTTTACCATTTGACAATCCTGCACCAACATTTGATGAAACTTGCCAACACACTTTAGAATTTTTTTTTAAAGGAGTGCGTCTCAAAGTTGATCAATTTAAAAAAAATTAGATTAATACTTCAAAAAAATGTCTTAATTCTTGAAAACCTGGGGCAATTTTGTCGAAAAATAGTATCAACGGTTACGGTTCTAAAGTTTAAATGAACAAAAGTAATAAAAATTAACCACAATGACCAAAAAGTAGTCACAATTTCACAAAAGCTCTAGGTTGCACTTAAAAGCTCATAATTTCAAAACAACGTAATTTCTGGACAGTAACAGTCAATACTACACCCCCTTTCGATTTGACAATAAATTCTGAAACACCCTGTATATGTATAGTTTGTAGAAAATATATCAATGAGATAGCTCAATATAATCAATATAAAATCGCAGTAAAATATATCCGGGATAGCCGATTTTTTTTTTCAGAAAGAGAATACAGTATTTCCACTAAAATAAATTAGTAGTATTCCATTAAGTAAAATTTTTAGTTGTGGTCAAAATGTCATTCAAGTAAATCTAGTTTTTATTTTAACATAAAAAATGACTTATGATCACTGAGTAAATGATATGTAGTCATGTCTTTTTAACTTCCGAAGCTTTAAGTCTAACTTAACTTTTCGTAACTTTAAATCGAAAATGAAAATTTTTATTTATGTTTACGTTTCAAAGGTTTTTGAATATTTTGGCATACCTTAGAAAAAATGGATGTATGTGTGTGTGTGCAGATACAAATTTTAATCGACTATCTCGGGAACACGAATCAACCGATTTTAATAATTCAAAAAACATTCGATTCGTATTGATAGGGAGACGTGCTGATTAGTTTTTGGCGAAGGCAGGTCAAGCCGTTCCGAAGATACGGGGCAAAAAGTGCCAAAAACGGTAACTGAGTTTTTAAGAGAACGCAGCGTCCGATTTTAATAATTCAAAAAACATTTTACTTGTATTGACAAGATGAAGAACTGATTAAATTTTTGGGAAGGCAGGTCCAGCGGTTATGGACTCTCAATGAAAATAAGTTAGAAAAAGTCATTTGGCGGTCAAAAATGTTTATTGGACATATGTACATCAAATTACCAGATATTTTATCAAGATTTAATAATGTGTACACATTTTGTGTAAATTTTTTGGGATCTGTACCAAGATTTTTAATTACGGTACAGGAAGTTTTAGCAATTTGCCTTAAGGCACAATGCCATGCACCAGACTAGTCACAAATTAAGATAATTATAAACGATATAAAGTATTACCACTTGTTATAGAATAGAACTCAGGAACACGATCAATATAATGATACAATTACTATAGAATCACAATATGAATCCAAACTAAAAAGATGACTATTGTCTTACATGTGATTATATGGATTTGTTTCCATATTCCAAAATATAATTCTACAATTATCATCTATCATATTACCTCAGTATCTCATCTTTGAGTGTAACTTGTCTACTTGAGCTAATATAAACAAATTGGACGTAGACATCCCAAACCATTTAGTGTCATGGGATCTCGATCCATTATATTCGCGCGCGAATTCGCTGGTGCAAAAGTGTAATTTCCCGTCGACATTAGTCGACACTTAAACGAAAATAAATTACGTTCGACTTTGCCGAGGCGTCGAGTGCGCCTGTCGACACATAACCGACAGGGAGGTTGTCTTGTAATGACAGCTCGTCGTAAATTAATACATGCTAGTAGCCTTGTATGTACCTGATGCAGGTCGTATGACTATCACTGATCGTTAAAACGAGGTAAAAAACTAAGGTAATATTTTGCTATATCGGGTTTCATATGAAAAGAGAATATGCTGTATGAAATTAGAGATGCAGCTTTCGTAATGCCTTTTCATTAATGCTGGAGTGGTATGAATGATATGAAGCTATGGACAAGAGGTGTTTGATATAAAATAATAAAAATAAATCAGAATAAATATGTAATTTGAGAGCAAGAGCTAGACAGACGGTGTAGAAAACTATTTGCACAAGAGATATTTTTTCCAAAGTTGCAAATTGTCACGTTTATTTGTTTTTTGTTGTTAATTAACTTCTCGTAGGGTAAGTTATAGTAATCGCAAAAAAATCTTTATATATCTTTACGTTTCAAAGGTTTCCGAATATTTCGGCATACCTTAGAAAAACTGGATGTATGTGTGTGTGTATGCGGATACAAATTTTCGTCGACGACTTCGGGAACACCGATCAACCGATTTGAATAATTCAAAAAACATTCGATTCGTATTGATAAGAAGACGTGCTGATTAGTTTTTCGCAAAGACAGGTCTAACCGTTCCGAAGATACGGGGCAAGAAGTGCCAAAAACAGTAACTTGGTTTTTAAGGGAACGGAGCGTCCGATTTTAATAATTCTAAAAATATTTCACTTATATTGACAAGACGAAGAACTGATTAAATTTTTAGGAAGGCAGGTTATGGACTCTCTTAAGAAAATAAATTAGAATAAATGTGTATTTTGAGAGATTAAAGAGCTAAACAGAAAACCTACTATTTGCACGTAAAATATTTTTTCTAAATGAACATCTTGCTATTTGTCTCGTTTATTTGTTCATTTTTTGAATGATAGGTATAGCTGAATTTAACGCAATCTTTCTATGGACAAGAAAAGTTTTATATAAAATAGTGAAAATAAGTCAGAATGAATGTGCAATTTGAAAACAAGAGCTAGATAGATGGTATAGATTAGAAGACGATTTTCACACGAGATATCATTTCCAGAACCAGACACAATGATTTAATTTAGGAAATTTCTATTGATCGATTCATTATCCATTATTCATTATAAAACCTAATAGACCAAACATTATGATTACCAATTGTTTAACTTCTAGTGATAAATTTTGAAGCAAAGGCCGATACAGAACATGTCGTCCATGGACGACCTTCGTATACACAGATAGTCGAATAGATTTTGTCCTTGGACGACATTCGTAGCAAAAGCGTTAAATATTGCTCAACTTTTGACTTGACTCATTGAAAACTATAAATCTTTAAACACCAATGTAAAAGATTCTGATAGTAATTGAAGTAATTGATCTTTAATCATTATGATCATTCACTTCCAAACGTAGTTCTTTAACAATCAGGTAAAATTGACTTACTTATCAATTATTCGAATAATAAAAAAAGAAACCATGGGATGGTTTGAAACATGACGACGAAACAAATACCACTGAACAGTTGGTAAACATCACATACAATTTATTTTAGAGCCACTTACAAATGTCATAGGTTCAAAATGTTTTATTTTAACGTTTCGCACATTTTCTCGCGTAGTTGGTGGAACGGCTTAATTTAAAATTCTACGCGCCCGTAAACACACCAAAGCTATAAGCACACATAGGGGAAACCGGGGATGATAATAATATAACAGATACATATATATATATATATATATATATATATATATATATATTATATATATACATATATATATATATTATATATATATGTGTGTGTGTGTGTGTATTCATTGTATTACTGTGCTGTTGTCATGCGTGGCAATTTCAATAATTTAATTAAGCACATATTAATTGCATACATTGAATTCGATGCACATTCATGAGTGGTTAATTATTTACTAGAAACAACATAAATGGTCTCATTTTCTTAATAATTCTATGTTATATTATATAACAATCGGCAAAAATTAAGAAGTTAAAACTAATCCTAAATCAAGAAAATATTCCCACAATTGATCATATTTTAAGACATTTTTAAATAAAAATAAAAGATTTATAGGACATCTATTTCATTATTATTTTCTTCTTAAATTAAAATCATTTATTGACATATTAGTATCAAAAGTGTTAGCTGTGCCTAGATAGCGACGCTCTTTTGTATGTATGTTAGTTGGTACGA